TTCGATGTAGCGCAATAATGATAATATAATCATGTTAAAATGTGTATTTTCTTCTTTATTTGTAAGTCATACCAGTTTATTGTCGGTGTATAAATCAAATATTCACAAGAACATGCATAACTAACAGAGCAAATTAGTTATTATATGTTAAAGTGAAACATGTCTAATTTATTTCACTGCTGTATTCTGTGTTGCTGCTTTACAGCAAACATTAACTAATAAGAGACAAAAAAAACAGGAATGCCACTAAAATGAGGCCATTTTGACCAATAAGCTAAAATATTCAACATATATTGACTAGTACAGTAGTGTCCAAAATTGTATGAATGTGAAAAAATCTATATGAGGCCACAGCGTGCGCGCGTGTGTGTGTGTGTGTGTGTGTGTGTGTGTGTGTGTGTGTGTGTGTGTGCGTGCGTGCGTGCGTGTGTGTGTGTGTGTGTGTCCTCTATAAGAATAATATGAATTTCACGGTGGCTGGATGCTTTCAGAGAGCTGACCTGTTCAAAAGTAGGCCAGTAGTGCAGATCCTTCACCCGCCTGCAGCGGCGTTGACGACTGAGCACTTAATGTTTGGGCCTGTGAGTGTGTGTGAGTGTGTGTAGATGTTATTTTGTTACCTCACAGGAACATTTCTTTCTGTGATTACTGACCTTGTTGAGAGCAGAAACATTTACTGGGTGCAAAGCCCAGTCCTACTGTGGTAATGCAGTTTCTAGGAACCTGACTGGGAGTTGACAGGGACAAAGTCTTGGTTAGGGGTGTCCAAAGTGTGGTCCGGGGGCCATTTGTGGCCCTCGGATTGATTTTTGTGGCCCGCAACTCCAGTTCAAGAAAGATGTGAATTTGTTTGTTAAACTTTTATTTCTAATCAGTATAAAACTGTTATAGACATAATTTTCTTACAGTGGAAAATGTTAAATACAACACTTTTTGCAGCCAAACTTTTATAGTAAATGGACATTTTTACTGAAAAACCAACTTCACTGTATCCAAATCAACTTTTATGTAATATAACAAGCTTTTTGAAAAAAAAGTGTCCCAAATTTTGTTCTTATAACTGAGAATACTTTCTTTTAATACAGCAAAAGTGCATAATGCTTTTTAAGTTTTGGCTCTACAATGAAGAGACTTCTTATTTATTATTATTATTTTCTTGGTCTGCGAGTACTTTTGACTTGACGATGTTGTCCTTACCAAGATGAAAACATTGCATTTATTTACAGTGTGAGATTTGTTCTGAAGGTTTAAACATACAATGTAAACATGATCTGTTTAAGTCCACATTTATTTTATCAAGGAAGTGAGAAAAGTTTAGTAATTAGACTATAAATATAATCTCATGTGTTCTATCATTATATTTATTGCTTAACACTGGCTCTATGTTTGAGATGGTAAATAAAATGTTTTTAAAAAAACACAATGTGGTTATCCTGGTCTAATTCTTCTGACGCACTCACATGAAATCTGTCCCAAAATAAAATCTCCTTTTTCTTTTTGTCGGTGTCACAATGAAGCCACTAGATGGAGATAAAGACCAAAAAAACTAAACAGTTTACTTCTATAAACATGACATGATGTGAAATTGGTAACTTCAACTAAAACCTTAAAATAGTTTGGAAATGCTGTTCCAAATGTCCTGTTTAATTCTGAAATACCGAATAAAGCACGTAATGACTCATAGCTACTACATACCAACAGTGTGTACTCTAATCTGATACTGACGTAATCTATGTTAGCAGATTTAAGCAATAATAAATGTATATGTTAACTTTAAAACAGTTGGGGACCTGTAGCTGCAGGAAAGAGTTAAAATATATATAATTTTTAATATAATTTGTGCTCCGGCTTTTTCTTTTCTTTTGAATTTTGAGATCTATTGTATTTTATTCTCTAATTATGCCTTTTGCAACTATTTGCCACCTTTATGGACAAAATACCCACTGACTTCCACTGAAATCACTTTATTTTTAGGGTTTTGCTGACCCTAAAAACGTTAAGAATTTATTTTTGAAGAAAGTCATTTTAATAAGCAAAAAAAAAAATGTTTTCAAATATATTTATGTCACTAATTTCCTTTAGAGATATTTAAATTTACAGAAAATACAATGGAGAAAGGACAAAGACGCTGCACATGGACAGAAACCGGGAATCGTACTTGGGACAACCGAGTCCAGGACTTCAGTCTCTGCACCTGCAGCGCATGCGCAGCCACCCACTGGCACATTAGTTCATTTAACAGATTTCTGAAAAAAGCAGACAGAAAAAGAAACAAACAAACACAAATATTATATTATGGTAACAACTGTATTTGTTAATGAACATCTTTGTCGTGAAAATATCCACAGAAGAGTCACTTTTAGGAAAGAACAGAAATTCAGTTGCAGCCGTTACCGGAAGCTTCCACGTTCTCCATCACATTTCCGTAAATGAAGCTGCTGACGTCAGTCTTCCGGTGGTGGTATCAGAAGAGGTAAGCTAATAACTGAATCCTTTATTATTAAGCTTGTTTATATTTATTCACTTTATAGTTTTTATACTAGATTAAACGAAGTATTTAAATGTATATTTAAAGGTTTATGTTATTTGACCCCGGTTAGCTAGCTAGCGTTGGCTAAGCTAACGGTTCCAATGCTTCAGCCAACCGCTGAAGGGTTTACCTTGTTGGGCTGTTTAAACGTTTACCCCTGTGAAAACTGACTTTGTATGCTTTGAAAATAAAATGTTAAAACGTTCTTAAAACTGCTAAGCATCACATGACTACTGTCTCAAAATTTAGTCTCAAATTATTAGCATGAAGAATCCTGCATGCGTTTAGTCATCTGTCTGCATGATAAATTCTTTTGTGCGAGTTTTACTGTGTGATTATAATAATTTTTTGCTTAAGCTGAGCAGAAAAAGTGGCTTAAAATAACTTGATGTTGTATTTTTATTTTAAAGGATTAAATAAAAACAAACTTGTCGTCGCTTAAAAATAATAGTTATGCGTTCTCCAAAGAAAGTCAAAACCTCACTTTTGCTTTTTTTCTCACAATAACCCAAAAATAATAACTTTGGTTTAAAATTTTCTTTGTTGCTTTCTTAGGATGGACATAGTTCACCAGGTTTTAGTTGAAGTAAAAATCTAAACTTGGTTTGGGATGGATAAAGCAGACAAATATTACTCTTTTTCTCAATAAATGTGAGAAAATATGGTGAAAATATCTCAAAATATGGTGAAAAGCCAAGTCTGCACTTGGAAATCTACCAACTTAAATGAACTAAATGAACCCTTGTAGTCCTGACAAGAAGCCAAATTTATCAGCCAGAATTATCCCAGAAGCCAGTTCAACGCTACAGAAAACATGTGGCCAAGGCGCAGCTTAATACGGGACATTTAACAAATACTTCTGGTTGTGTGTGTTTATTTCAACCCATCTGTTTCATTTTGACCTTAAAGAAAATTAAAGATAAAAATAAACTGTTTATTTTCCTGATGTTCTCTGTGAAAAAGATTAATGACTAAAGATTTATGTTTAATCATTTCAGCCCTAAAAAGAAAAGAGGTCAAAATGACCATTTTTGTTGGTTAGATGTTTAAAGCTACAGGGGGAGTGAAAAGTTTCCTCACGGGGTAAACGGGCGGAGCGTTAACTCGAGTAGTTCTGATGCTGAAACTTGAACCTGTCTTCCACTCACCATCTGCCTCACACACACCTTTCATTTTTCCATCCCTCGTCTCAATCTCCCCTCTTCAACCAGCTCACTTTCTCTGCTTCTCTCTCTCTCTTACACACACACACACACACACACACACTTCTAACCTGGCTGGCACTGAAGCATCTGGCATCTTCACGCTGCTGCCTCTCTCCTGAGACACACACACACACACACACACACACACACACACACACACACACACTTTGACTGCAGCAGCAGCTTGTTGGCAGGTTCATATTTTACCCACTGTCCAATGAGAGTGATGCAGTAGATTAGGAAGTTACATTTTCCTGTCCGTGTTAACGAAGACAGCTGCTAGGAGCGTTATTCAAATTAAAAAGAAGCTTGTAAAGAGACAAAATGTACTTTGATTTCTTTATGATTCTACATTTTATTGCTGGTTTTCCAGTTTTTGTTTCCTGTCTTTCTGGTTTTAGATTATTTAATTTCATCTGCATTGGCAGATATTTTGTAAAATTAGCTTTAGTGCAGCTCTGTTTAAAATTTCTCTGCAGCGTTTCCCCTCAGTTTTCTGCTTCATTCCTTGGTCTTTATTTTTTTGTTGTTTGTTTTACTTTTCATTTATATTTAGAATAAGTAGCACACTTGTGCTTTCTTTGCTAATTTTGGAATTTTTAAGGATATTGTTCAGAGCACATCTTTGTACTAAACAGCTGCCTCAGTTTTAACTGATGTCAAATTATATTCCATGATCTATACAGCGAGTAATAAAAAGTTGCATTTACCGTCATAAACATGCGCTTATATTTCCAAATTAGTACCACAAACACTTGGATTTTTATTACAAAAAATAAGAGGGATTGGAAAGATCTTCAATAATATTATTTTAATTTAAAAATTCATTGATATTTTAACAGTTTAATGGGTTTCATCAATACATTCTGGCACAACCAGCCCTTTAAAAGCATTCATCATCTTGATTTGGCACAAAATGAAAATGAGTTTGACCCCCATGGTTTAGGGGTATGAGAGTAAAAAAGGCTCAATACAAATATCACTTTTCATATTTTTTCTGTTTTTTTTTTCATATCACTTTTGTGCATTGATCTGTCCTGGTCTATCTTGGCAAATCTCAATAAAATATGTAGAAGAACAACAACGAGAAAAATAAAAATTAAATATGTTATTGCCCCCTGCTGGTATATCATTGTAATCATGTAATTTTCTTACCACTAGATGGCAGTAGGTACAAAGCATTTTACATTAAAACAAGAGAATTAGTGATGCATGAATGTTACAGGTAGCGGTGAGAGCATTGTATCGATCAAGACTAACGACAGTGATGGAAAAGACAGTGAAGCTCAGCATCTGTTGGAAAGAACATGGGTCCATTTCCCACAACATGTCTGTGAGAAGTGAGCTTCTCAAGCCTGTTTACTATAAAAACTGAAACCAGAGAGACTGAGAGCTGTTGAGGAAGAGCTTTGTCTTTCTTCAATTTCTACCAGAAATCGGCTGTTTTCATCCAAACATGCACAGGTTTCACACTAGATTGGTAAAATATACAGATATTGACATTTTGTACATGCAAATCTTCACATTGTAACAGTGAATATGAAGTAGAATCTTTCCCAAATATTATTGCTTCTTTCAGAATAAGAATGATTTTCTGTATTACAGCTTAAATAATGCTTGTGGATTAGTTTGTAAAACACTTTGAAGTTTTCTACAACTTCTTTAAATTTAAGACCACATTGTTGTGGCCCTGTTCAGGTGTATTTTTTGAAGTGGACATGTTACGTGCAATTTGAAATAAGAAACGTAAAATGTGATAAAGATACATTTTTGTGTTTATCTGATTCCTATTCAAGACACTTTGATAAGAATGACTATATAATATAGGCAGCTACAGAGTATCTTTGTTTACATTTTTGGTTGGTGGTGTGCCTCGAGATTTTTTCAATTAAAACAGTGTACCTTGGCTCAAAAAAGGTTGAAAAACACTGCCTTATTAGATGAGGTCTCGTCATATGTTCCGGTGCCATGACTACACAATGTGCCATGTAGCATTTCAGTGACACTGGGTACTTTATATACAAGAAATTGCTGAAGGAAAGACAGCTGTTGCTGGGATACTCGGAGTGAACTTATTCACGTCCCACAGTTTCATCAGCTGATTGGTTTTCAACCTAGAAAAGTTTCTGGAGATGACAACAGTATCTTAGGTTATGATCATATTGTATTCAAATCGTTAATGACTCAACATTTGTATGGAGGCGCTATGAACTACAAATGATACTTGGTCTGCTTTAATCAAACTCTAGTTTGTTTCTGTAGAAAGCCCTGTTTGTTTGGGGAGGTGTGCATGTATAATCCAACTCTGATGCGGACCAAAAAAGCAAACTCTTGTTCGCCTAGAAACCTTGGTCTCAGTTCAGTTAAAGTGAACTCTGGTGCAGCTTGAATGAATGTGTGAACGCCAAGCGGACTGGACACCATTCCAAGAGCAGGAAGTGGGCTGTAACGCAGGGCATTTTGGGTAAATGCAACCAAAGCACATAATGCGAAAGTCTAGTTCTAGCTGGAGAAATATCTCAGTTTTTAGCAAAAGACAAAAGAGAAATCAACTGCTAAAATCTGACACTACTCCAGTTTTTTTTACATTTTGTGAAGAAGAAAGCTGCGCTCAGTGTCTTCTTTAATGGTTTTTATGTTGTTTCCTTCAGTGGTTTCTGGTGAGGCGCGGAAAAGGTTTTGCGATTCTTTTGGTTTGTTTGACAGTGAAGAGTGAAAGTGAACCACACTCAGCTGAAAATGTAACAAATGTTGAAACTTTGATCCTCAATCAAATCAAGTCTGCAGAACTCTTAGGTGTGAAAAGTCTCTTAATGGGAGTTTTTCACAAGCTTTTTAAAAATATTACATCTTTAAAATCCAGCAGTGGAAATCTGTGTCTAGACTCTTCATATCAAATTTTTCTGGACAATAAATTGTCCCTGGAGTTATTGCGATAATATTGTTTTGATACCATTTTCAAGTGATATAATCGTAGTGGCTTAATAATGAAAGAACGTATTCTGAAAGATAGATAAACTTTAACTTCTAATGAACATTTAACACTGGAACTGGAAGATATTTTAAATATCCAGGATAAATAAACAAAACAACAGAAACAAATTAAATTAATTATGAAATCTCTGTAAACAAAATTGTCCTTCAAAAATCTTCTAGGTTAGACCAAAGCACCAAACTGAAGACTTTTGTTATCCAGTTTTTGGTAGAAAGAGAAAATAAAGAAAGACGATAAATCATATCAATGAAATTTTTTGAGTTTGTTATAATTTCTTATGTAATTAATTGATAAATTGCTTATTGGGACAGTCCTATCTGTGTCTGTGTTATCATTTTAGCATTGTTAGTTAAGCAAAAACTGCAGTTTGTAACTTTAATAACAGCTCAAGTTTGAGAACTGGACATGACCTGATTTTTAAAGTTGAGTTTACTTCATCTAACAGTTATAATAAAAAATCACTTTCTGGATTTTTATCTTAGTTTTCTATTACTAGCTGGACAAAAGTGGCTTTAATAACTGCTGAAAGTTGCACCAGACATTAAATGGCAACAAGAGAATGATTTGCAGTTCATAGACTTAATGCGACTGCCGTCCCTGAACTTAAATGGCTGTGATTGGATGTTTTTCTGTGGCAGTGATGGATGAGCCTCGGCGTCTGAATCGTTTCCTGCTCTGAATGGGAATGGACGAGGCCGAGTTGGTTTCTAAAACATATATGTGATTATGTCACACGCTTGTATCAGCAGCCAGACTGAGGAGTTAATGGCTGGAAAAGGTGAAGAGAAAGTCAGAGTTTCCAGGCGGCTTAATGGGAGATAATAGAGGTCTGATTGTAATGTGCTGCAGGATGGATCTGATGTGGGAAAACTGGGAGGAAGCTGTTGAACGAGATTCTATCTGATGGGAAAAACCAGCCTGCTCCACCACTGTTCAAGCTTTCTTTCTTGAATGCAAAGCTTGCAATATGGGTATTTGCTTGGAAAAGCCTCTTCTGTTGTTTCAGTGACAAGCAGTTGCAAAGAATATGGAAGTCTTTGTCCATTTTTACTTCAAATTGTACACATCATTTGCATTCACAACACTAGCTGTGTTGCCATTGACCATATAATTGTGCAAGTTGAAATTACCAAAATAAATTTGCTTAATGCAAACATGCCAGTTTTCTTGAAGTTTGGTTCAGATTTGTGGTGCATCGAAGCTGCACCATGTGATCAACAACCGAACGTTACTACTGGCAGAAAAGACGAAGAAGATGACAGGAAGTAGTCTGACAACGATGGTGCTATATTTTTTATTTTTTTATTTTTTTACTTACAAGCTCATTCATATTTGCGTTTCTTATTTGATGGAAACAACGCAATTGTGAAATTGTGTTTTCTTTTTGTCATTAGTGGAATGTTTGTAATGGAAACGCAGCGACCATCTTTGAATTAACAAGGGCTCTCTTACAGTAGCAGCATTCAGACTTTGTTCCAACCGCCAACATGTAAACCATCTGGCACTGCGAAAGCATGAAGAGGAGTAAAATCAAATGTAAAGTGGGGCACAGAAGATGAAAGGCAGCACATAAAGGTCTTGGTACAATGTCGTCCTTTATCTCATGCAACAGGCAGTTTTAGGAAATGAGATAAATGGTTTTTGTCAGAGAGGGCAAAGCAGAAAAAGGGATTTGTCTTCAAATGCAGCTGAAGCAACAGGCTGCATGTGTGTGTCTAAATGAGTTACTGAAACAGAGACATCCTTGCGTTTGCTCTTGACTGATGAGGGCTGAAAATAGGATTTATGTTAGAAACAGAAGAGGACGCCTGTAAGCCAGTTAAGATGACTGCAGAACCCATTTCACAGTGAGGAAATGAAAGTCGGTGTTAGACATTAGTTAAAAGGCTTCGCTCTGAGAGCACAGATAAAAAGGTACCAGTTTTAATACAGTAGAGGGCATAGCTCGCTGTGAAATGTTTAGTTTTGGTTAACTTACTGATTGTCAAACCTTCAGGGATCTGAGTGAGAGTCACACAGTTTCCATCTACTTGTGTGGAGCGAATCAACCAGGCTATGCAAAGCATAATTTTGTCAGATGTTGATGTTATTCATGGCTACAATGAACAGGAAGTTGAAGTTTGGACCCAAAATCTCAGAAAAACGGAGAGAGGTTTTCAGGAATGTGCTGCTATTGGGAAAGTTGTAATTGATTTGTCAACTTGTTTTGGTCATACTTTATCCAGAGACCTAGAGAAAGAAATGCAGTTCTAACACAGAAACAGCTGATCAGTTGTAAGAGCTAAAAGTTCACTACATCAGACTTATTTATCTAATGTGTTTCCATCTTTGCTTTAGCGCATTAACTCTCTTTTTCTGTTTTGGAAAAGCTGAAAACTACCTCAGGATAGCCTAAAATGTGTTTTCTATAGTGATACTTCAAAATGTGCATTTAAAAATGTGGCTGTTTTGTGTAGCAACGGCTGATAGAACATGAAGTCACCAGATCAGGTTGCTTTAACTTACTGCAATGCTTAACATAGTTTCTCCTAGAAAACCTGCGAAGCCCAGTGGTAGGCGCACTGTCCATCATGTCTTTGTGTCAAAAAAATTTTAAAAGTTACAAAAATTCACAGGTGCACAAGCATAATTTAGAAATAATAAAGTATGAGGGACACCACAATTGGTTCACACCCCAGTTCAATGCGTCATCTATAAACCTAGCTTAATCTGTCTTTGTTGCCAGTGTTACTGGTATGCAGAAAACTCTACTTAAACTGGCTAAATCAACATTGTGACAACAGCTGAAGCAACTTCTTTTATCTCAGTTGAATCTTGGACTCAACTAGATGTCCCAACAGGACGGTGACTCAAAACACAAAGTGTAGCCTGTTTGGGACAATGCTAGACTTTGGGATTTATCCTGCCACTTTCCCTTCTCCAGAGTTGGAACGGATTGGTGTTTGTCATTTTTGTTTGGTAATCAAGGGCAATTTAGAAATTACTGTATGTCGTCAGGTTTTGAATTGGCCTAATCACTGGCAATTTGCAGTGAAGCCACTAAACCAAGCCAAGTTTAAGTTTGGATAAACCATGAGAAAATAAGTAGAAAAGAAACCAAGTTTATACTTTGAGCAGATGGTCTCATTAGAAAGAACCATTGGAAAATGTTAGCCCAACAAACTAATGTGTAATGTAGCCATGAAATTAACCTGTAAAGTGTGCTTTAAACAGCACATAAAACATTTAGCAGCAGTAGAAAGGACAAAAACTGACATTAATTTGGGAGGTGGAATCCTTTTCTCTCATTTTAAGGGCAGAAAACAGGATTTGCCTTTGAGTCAGAGGAGAGCAGTCATAAGCCAGTTAGGAGTTTGAAACAGCCTATTTCACACTGAGAAAATAGAGCCACAGTCACAACAGAAAGTAAAGATTAGACAGAAAAACCCTAATTATGTCAGCACAACACTTGATTTAATTTACTCATTGCCACAGAGATTATTCTCCTTTTCTTTGGAAGCTGACAAGAAGAGACACCAAAGACTAATCTTTAAGCCAGTTAGAGGAATCAAACGGACGATTTCACACTGAGGAAATGAGACTTCTTCAAGACGTTTTGCTTTGATGTGCAGAATAATGTCAGATTTCACACAAGCTGTTCTTCCTGGCTCTTTTGGGCACTCTTTGAAAGTACGTTATTTTAGCCTTTCAGGATCCAGCATTTTTAGGTACACAATAAGGCTGCATTTACACCAGCCCTGTTTTGTCCATTTTATATAAACTCTAGTTCGCTGTTTTGAAAGTCCAGTTTGTTGGCGAGGTGTGAACACGTAATTTAACTATACCGCAAACCAAGAAAACGAACTCTGGTCCACCTAAAAACCCACGTCTTGGTTCGGTTGAAGTGAATTTTGGTGCGGTTTCAATGCAGTGTGAACTGGAGACTGCTCCAAAAGCAGGAAGCAGACTACAACACAGTTCATTCTCGGTAAATACGACCAAAACAAAAGGTGTCTAGCACTAGCAAATTGTTCGTAGTCTTTTGACAAAGATGTAAAGAAGTCCTACATTGTTAAAATCTCATGCCACTCTGTTTTTCTTTACATTTTGTGAAAAAGGAAGTTGTGCTCAGTGTCTTGTCCAGAGATTTTTGTGTTGTTTCCTTCAGTAGTTCTTGGTGCAGCGCCCCCACAGGTGAGGAGGGGAACAAGTTTTTCACACCTTTACACAGTGCAGTGTGAAAGTGAACCACACAAGTTAAAAAATGCAAGAAATTTTTTTTATCAGGTGGGGAAACGCACTCAATGTGAACATTTTGGTGAGTTTTGAGCTTTCAGATTTGATCCACAATATCTCATATTCAGGTCAGTCCAGGAATAAACACTTCCTATAAATGTTATTTACTTGATTGTATGTTCTTGTGTTAAGTTGTCAATGGAAACCTGATGCAGAATTATTTGTTGACAAGCAGACTGAGATTGAGAAGAGGTTTTCATGGTCACCATGTTTACAGAAACTCTCTGTTCCTTTGGGTTTCTTGGCAGCCATTTTTGTTTAGTCATTAATTGAGTTTGAAGATGCTACTTACAGTTGAAGCGACAATGTGCCATGTATAAATTGTGTAATTGGTTGTAATTTGCCTTTCATGTACAGATCCTATTTCTCATGTAGGCATATGCTTCACTTTTGTGTGGAAATTAATAATTTTACTAAATAATCCAGCTCTCTGACCTGGCTCAGACTTTGGATACAGATTGGTAGGTTGAACGGCGTTGTTGGTCATATTTTACCATTTGAGATCCAGACACCGCTCATGTCACACTAAGAAGTGATTAAAACCCAAATTATACATCTGACCTCAGATTTTCACGGTTTAAAAAAGAAACATCTTGGATTCAAGCGTGTGTGTGAAGGATGTGTTAAAAGGATTTGGAGCACGTTTCATTATTACCGTGGATGGGTTTAATCATGGTTTTCTAGATGGTGTTTTCCACTTGGTTAGCTCTCTGTCTCTCATCTTACAAATTAGACCTCCGCTATAAGGACATGGCTGCTATTATTACACCCTGATCTGCTCCTCCCAGCTGCTTCTTCTGTTTTTCTGTACTGCTTTTGGGTCGGTTTTTCATTGAAATGCTTGTTTATTAAAATGTCACCAAGAAATACGACTGATTATTTTCAATTTGTTTTGTTTTAATCTCTAATCAATACAGAATTTGCTTTAGAAAATCTGTGGACAAATTATTCCCCTCATATCAGTTGGACTGGATTGAGAGCATCAATGACACATATAATTTAGTTACATTTAGGTCTGGACTTTAACTAGGACATTCACACACATGAATAATCTTTGATCTTAGCCATTGTACTCTCATAGCTGTCTGCTTAAATGAAACTGACAGTCAGATAAACAAATTTTAAGCATGTTTGTGCTTAAAGTGTGGAAACATGAAGGTCAGCACTAAAAGAGAAAACATTTATTTATTTTTTTGGTAGTTGTGGAGGGTTAATATACGTCAGTGCATCAAAGCCACGCTAAAACATAAAAAAAAATTAATTACGGAAATAAACTCATAAAATTACAAGAATAAAGTAATAATATTGCAAGAACAAAGTCATATGAAAATGAAATCATAATATTATGAATTTATTCTCATATTGATTTGATTTTTTTGTCATTATTTTTGACTTCTCTCTCAACTTTGTTCTTATAAAATTATGACTATTGTAGTATTACAATCTTATTCTTGTAATTTTATGATTATTCTCAAAATATTATGGATTTATTCTCATTATTTCGACTTTTTTTC